TATAAATTCAATGATACCTACCTCATTATATTCGAAAAACGGTTCTGAGAGAAATAAATGTCAAGATCATAAGGAGTTAATCATAAGTTTCTATGGATAGTTTATATTAAATTATATTCATTGTATGATTATTAGTATTTTCTTAATAAATTCAGTAGGTTGAATTTATTTTTACAAAAAAAACCTCATATAAGTTACGATAAGTTAAAACCAACGTACTGTAAAATGGTATCGTAATGATTCGTCTATAGTCTATAGTATAGACTCTATACGAATAATCATTTTTTTAATTACAACAAAATAACTAAGACCATTCATTTGATTTTAAATAGGTACTCAATTTTGAACAATTAATATCAAATTCAAACGCATATAAACAAACATTATTACTATGTATTAAAGACATTTTTAACTGCTATATAAACAGTCCACCTTGTATTACATTTAAAATGATTTGACACAGAAAAAAAAAATAGTTTATCAAAATGTATAGAAAAAAAAACATGCATTTTATTTTTATACATGACAAAACAATAACCAAAATATTAAAAAATATATTTCACGTCTAATAACGGTAATATAAATATTTTAGGAAAATGTCAAGTCTCTTCGATTATTCACTTGTGCATCAAAAAAAAAAAAAAAACACAACGATTTTGTCAAAAACAAGTGTAGCGTAAATATTCCAGTTAGGTTTTGTTTGCTTCCCTCAGTTATTAAAACGTATAGTGACATTTTTCTTTTCTATATACCAACTTGATCAAATTAGCTTTCAAAAACCACCCCCAAAGTTAAAAATTGAAGTAGATTTTCTGCTCCAAAACGTGATGACAGACATACAAAAACAAAACGTATCATTGTAAAACCAATAATACATCCCTCGCTCCACTTAACATGATTTAAATTGTTCTATTTCGATTCGACAGAGTTGCTATACGAAAACCAAATCGATTTATTAATTTAGTATACTAAGGAAAAAGTCTGAGTACTTTTTTTAAGCCACAGTACGTCGGTCTTTATTATAAATACTTCTCTTTCAATTAATTTAAAACGTAAATAAACAATGATTATAAGTTTAAAATTTGATATAATATCTTCTTAAATTTATTGTGATGAAAAATATGTAACAACTCTCAAATCTGATTACCCCATTTATATACCTTGTAATATATTCAATTTAAATGTATTATATAGTAGGTATATATTATCATTTGAAATAATAAATATAAACGTTTATATTTTAATTGCATTTCTTTTCACATCGAAATGTAATAGGTACTTTTACATTTTCAAAGTATTTGCAATTCTGTCTAATGGCAGGTACTTAGGTTGCACAAATTATTTCTCTGAACATTGATTTTATAATTTTCAGTTTTTATTTGCAAACCTCAGTGGTGATCTTGTATTTTACCCAATAGCCTGTCAAGATAAAAATAAACTGTAAAAAGTAAGTTCAACCAAACGTTATACATATTATTTATATACATTTTTCATACACTTCATTTTTCAATTTTCTAAAGAGCAGTTATGCAATTAGTAACACATAGAAAAAATTATTATTAGAAATCTATATATCTAACTAAATTATAATAATTCTGAAATATATGGCGTGTGCAGTGGTATTATTACGAGTAAAATATATTTTTATAATACATACAGTACAGTTTCAAAAACCAATTTGTTGCTTTCTCGTTCCAAATCAGAATCTAAAGATTTTGACGTAACGGGTAAACAAAATGTATTATTTATGAATCAAATGTTTCTTGACGTTGATGTAATATTGTGTATACGTTGCTCGATTTTTATTCAATATTCGAGTGTTTATGTAAGTGCGATTTGACTGCAAACTGCATGTAGAAAACACTATTGTACAGTCGCCTTGATTAAAAACCCTGCAGGTTATAATTTTGTATCAGCTTCATTAAATCTTCTACTAGAGCTGTATTTTATTTTTTTTTATTCCTCTATATCTGTTTGCAAACGCCCACGTCGTAAAAAGAAATTAGAAATTTCGGGGAAATATTACGTTATTTTTTTAAACAGATACAATTATTTTTAATTTCTAACCATTACGGTTATTTATACAGTATTCAAATATCTTCAAAATTAATAGATAGTGGATAGTGGGTAGATAGTGGGTAGATAGTGGGTACACACAGAACTTAATATTTTGATAATATGATAATAATATAGTTGTATTGAAAAACAATTATTTATCTTGTGAACGCAGCATAATATCCTCTATGGGATTAAATCATTAGTTGTGTACCTATTTTTGTTGTTGGTTTCATAAAATATTATATAGGTATTATATCGGTCTTATAACACTTAAATTTGTATTACTGGATTATCGTTGTACTACGTCAAGCACATAAATGATGATACTATTGGACGTAAATACAGAATACTGCTGAGGCCAAACGAAATTAGCCCGACGACGTGCGGCTTTTGGCGAGGAACCTCGTGGACAATATATCTGATGTTAACCTACGACATAATATTAAGAAAAAAAAAGATGATTCGTTCTAAAAATAAACACAAAATTGACCTTGAATAACATTTGATGGTTTTTAATCATTTTATAGTATAGCTTCATATTTCATAATTATCGGTTCTTTTCGTTTGATAAATTATGTGAAAAAAAAACAATTGACACTCTTACACGTGCTTACACTCTGCTCAGACATTTTATTTCTTTAAGACCGTAAGCAATTAAGATAATACATAATATATAGTATGAAACAACAAAAATAGAAAATTATTTAATTGTAAAGATGATAAATCGCACGTTATTGAGTGCCTAACAAAATTATATCATATCGTAAATCCTACTAATATTATAAACGCTAAAGTTTGTAAGTATGTTTGTTACTCTTTCACGTTAAAACTACTGAATGGATTTTAATGAAACTTTTCAATAATATAGCTTATACATCAGAATAACACATAGGCTAAAATTTATAAATATGTATTGTGTGAATTTTTTAATTTTAATTTTCACTAAAAAAAAACGTGTAAATTGTCTAGGTACCTATACATTTTTTAGTAAGAAATAGTCGCTGGCTGAAAATAAATAACACTCAAACAATGTGTAGATTAGACCTCTTTAAAGAAGACAGGCTAATTTAAAAATGGTTAAATTTGTTTTTTTTTATTCATCTGATATTAGGTTATTTTCGAATTTTGTATTAATTGATTATATTAATCCACCATAGGTGGAATACGACAAACTTGGTATAAATTTGATACTTATTAGAGTTAAATCATACACCTACGTACAAACAGCACGGGGTCCGCGATCTACCCCAAGTAGATTGCCTACCTTATAATATACTGCTGCGAATTAGAATTTTTATTCCGGGCAACGGAAAAGTTAAGGTACATTTTGAACACCATACACCGAATATTAAATAACGAATTGAACAATGTTTTAGTCATTTAGAGTTGGTAAATTTAACGGGAAACGAAGTGCACGTGATCAGCTAGTATTAAATAAAGCTAATGGCCCATGCTGCCAAAGCTGTAATGTTCAATAATGAAAAATATTTTTGTTTGAAAATGAATGTTTGTGGGTGTTTGTCTGTTCTTTATACATTCCTAAACCGTTCACGTGACATTTGATACAGAGACAGTATAGACCTCTAGAAAGAAGATAGGCTAATTTTAAAAGGGTATATTAGAGGTCTAAACCCGGGGAGGTGTTCAAATAACAAGTATTTTGAGATTTACGATGGAGATGTTTGAAATGGTTGCTATTGGTTTTAATAATAATAATAATAACTGTTAATGCCTGTTGGCGCACTTCGATGTGTTGTAGTATACAGACTGTCTCAATATCGAACCACTGTCGATTTGATAGACCAATTTTTTGCATTGTTTTTTCCTATTTTTACTTTTTTATTTTTCTTTTTTATCTATACATACGAATGTTTGGTTTTTTTTTTTATTCATCGGATTTTAGTAATATTAGATTTTCGTATGAATTGATTGTATTAATCCGCAGTAGGTTGAATTAAGTAAAACCGACAAACTTGGCAAAAATTAGATACTTTAGAGTTAAATATTACACACTATTACGTACAAACCACATGGGGTCCGCGATCTATACCGCAGTTAGATTGCCTACCTGACAATATAATGCTCGCATAATCACAAGCTCATCTCAAAGGGCAACGCCGGCCGGGATGGTCATACATTAAAATATAATAAAATTTAAACTTAAAAAGATATTGCTTCCACAGCCTGTTACCCAAAAGAGTTGAACGATCACAATTTTTTTTCCGGGTACATCATCTAGTACTTAATAAAAATAAGATAATTTTTAAACTAATTTCACTATATAACGTGATGTATTATCAATATCTAGAATAAGTAGGTGACCTATCAAGGAAACTTTAGTGAACCATTCCAAAAAGTGTACCAAGCAGCAAAATAAAATTATCTACGCTTAGGTATATTTATCAGTTTTTATATATTTTTTGTTTTGTATGGTTAAAAAAATGGTTTCATTTTTATATTCAAAAATTGAATATTATTATTATTGTGTACTATTTTGTTTAGGTATATGTTAACATAAAATAGTCGAGAGATCACAACACAAATCGTCACAGCATGTTATATAGCCACCCCCGTGGTGCATATTATATGTATAATAAAATATATATACCATATGAGTGTGTAAGAAGTTTGGAAACATAATATATTTAATGTGGAAAACTATTTAAAATGTTCACAAAAACATTCTATTAATGGGCAGAGTACCTAATGTCTAGTTAAAGGATTTTATGTTAGTATAAAATCAAAAATATTTAAATATATATTTGTTTATTACTTAATAAATATTTATTCATAAATGTATAATATTTAAATATTTAAATTGAAAATTACATAGAATTATTAACTAATTAATTAAAAAATATAAAAAATTTAAAATTTATTCTGAATCATCATAGTATTCATGTGGGAAACAGTTAGAAACAACATAATAGCTTATGCAATTTTCAAAATGTAAAGTGGCAGCGGTTCGGTCTTAACATTTCTTTGTAACGGCTGAATGACCTCTCCGCATCAACGGACGTGACAGGTACATATTTCATACACATTATTTCTTTTGGAGTGTATTCAATTTCTGAATAATTGTTATTCGGAGTTACGTTTAATAGTATGTCTCTTATTGACATTACAGTATTAAATCCTGTGTTTTTTTCCAACACATTTTTTAATTTTTAATTGGTTAAAACTCCAATTTCTCCAGGAACACGTTCTAATTGCTTTATTTTATTATCAACTATTTCTAAGCTCTCCGTTAGTGGAATTTTAGAAGTTTCTAATTTTGAAACAGTATCAACTAAAAATCCAAAATTAGTCGAAATAAATGTTAAATTGTTTTGCAAACTTTTACTGTCTATGAGCTCAACAGTTTTTTTTATAGCCAATGCAGCATCGGGATCTAAATTTAAGACAACGTTTCTAATCCTTTCAAAGATATTTGAATAATATAATACAGCTGATAACCACGTACCCCATCGAGTTATAATAGGCTCGGTAGATAGAGTTAAATCCGGATCTTTAAATGTTGGACACGACATGGTGCTTTTAAAAATATTTTTTTTACGTTGGAAATTAACGAATCAACTTCAGAAAATTGAAATCTAATTTTTTCAGCTATACGATGAAAACCATGTACTAGACAAGTTAAATGTATCATTCTTGGATAAAATGTGTCCAACACTTTTCCCGCCTTACACATATACGGCGCGGCGTCCATTAAAAGTAAAAAAACATTATTGTGTAGTATACCATTTGGCCAAAAAACACACAATAATTGACATATAGTTTTGTGGTTGCATTTATCTAATTCTTCACAACATAATAAAAATGATTTGGATGGTTCAGTGCTAAAATTTTCCTACAGTAACATTTGCGATATATCGACCGTCGGCATCTGTTGTTTCATCTACTCCAACCGAAATAGGCCCATCTCCAATGATATTTTGAATTTTCGAAATAGTTTCTTCATAAACCCCACTAACATAATTTTTTCTATGTGTACTCTCGTCGGGAATAATTTTATGACCCGTCTATTTTTCCATAACATTTTTAAATGCAACATTTTTCAATTTAAAAAGAGGAATGTCTGAACGTATTAGTGCACGACACCAATCATCATTAAAAACTGACTTGCTATTGGTAGATGCGGATGATGTAGAAATAAAATTTTGTTGAAATATAAGCTTTCTGTCTTTATTGCCTCTATGTTTACTGGTATTGATGAGCTGAATAACTTGACCACGTTGGTCGATAGATACTGATTTATCACAAAACTGACAGCATAAAACTTGTCCATCACTCCTAAAAGTTTCGTTCGGAAATTCTTCCAAATAAATACTAACTTTTGACCTTTTTGTGCTAGCTACTTTGGACATATTTAAAAAGTTAACAATATTATATTATACAAACTACACAAACGGACACAATACGAAAATAACGTGATCGAATAACGCTCATACGAATACTGATCGAAAAGTGAACGCATATACTCGTATACTGAAATGACTACCTAGTACCTACTACTTAGATAACTTATCCTATCTAAGATAACTAGATAAGATATCGAATCGTTGTCGTTTGATGTTAAAGGTGTATAGTACAGAGACCTAATCGTATCGTAAAATACTAAAATAAAAACGGAAATTCTTCAATAATAAAGAATACGTATATTTATTTGTAAAATAATTAAAATATACACGAAAATTCTACAATATTACATAATTTATGTATTTATTTGTAAAAAAATTTAATTATTCTAAAATATTTAAAAATATTTAAAATAAAATTAGCATCAGATTACTTGTAATTAAATGAAACGTATACATATATCGAAAACTTTCCTAATTGTTATTACATAAAAATATTTATTTAAATTAAAATCCGTTAACTAGTGTAGTCTTTCACTCATTATTTTTCTTTTGTAATTTTTGAAAATATATTTTTTACTATATTCAATATTTTTAAATGATTGCACAATAAACAACATATTTTACGGGTAAACAAATTATATTTTTATAAATGTTTTAAGATTGTACTTTCTAAACAGAAACATTCTGATATTTTCAATTTTATACTCCAAAGCAGAATATATAAAAAAAATCAAATTTCAAACGAGTACCTAATTAGTTATAAGTATTTAAATTTTAGATTAACGGTGTAGACAGGGACAGGGGTATCCCTTATAATGTTATTCCACTACCTACTCCACTCATTCGTACTTTAAATGTGTATTATAAAATAAAAATAAAATAAAATCTAAAAAAGAGGTACTTAACCATAAAAAAAAATTAAAAATATATTAATATTTTATTCAAAACTGTGTTGTTATGAATTCTACTTAATTTCTACAAAAATAATATTTTAAAAATTGCTTTAAGTCTTACACATAATTAGTGTAGTAGCTACTTATAAATTAATCACCTTGTGTGTGTGAATCGTATTTAATAACACCAAAGTACATAACCTCAGTGCAATGACCAGCTTCAGCGATATATAACATATAATATTATGTTGTTTATTTATTATATTAAATATTCACCGTCCGTATCAGTGTATTGCTCATACGGTGAAGGTTCCATATAAGTATATAACTAACTTCTATTTAACAACATTTTCTGTTTAACAAAATATATCTGAGAACCAAACGAAATTAGAACGAAATTTATTTAAATCTATTTAACAAATTTCTTATTTCCCTTTTCTGTTGCCCGTGAGACTTCATAATATAAAAGTTTCACTGCAGTATTATATTATGTTATATTGCTATACGAATTTGCATCCGACCATAAAAATTCACACATCGCCATATATAGGTGCAGTTTGAGTACTGCAAGATGACACTGCGCAGGACACCGTGGAGGCGCTAGTCTTGACATTTGAATGCATCAACAATGGAATTATAATAAAGAAATTTAGAATAAAATGCATTGTTTTATGTGCTCGGCTTACCGATGACTGATGAGGCTTTACATTTTGCTGAGGACTCTGATGCCGACAGATGTAAATTCGGCACATTATTCTACTGAATAACGGTTCCGACAACAACGGCAAAAAAAACATCTATAGTTAGTCCCTCGGCGGCCACAGCTATGAGCGGCGAGCATTACATTTTTGACGCCCCAAAATTAATATTTTTTTCCACCCGTTGATTTGTCAGCTCCGGTCAGTTCAAACAAAACTACCCTCTAATCAGCTAACCATCACGTTTAGTTATTTTGACGGGGCTTTTAGATTTTCACTCTGAACAAACACTAAACACTCACGCGTCAAAGATAACATTTTAATACTTGAGAAAAAAACTCTAAAATAAATTATAACTATAAAAGATTTCAATAATTAACAATTTATAAACCAATCATAATAAATTTTGATATAAAATCTAAACTTAACGAAGGTGAAAAAAAAGCTAATCGGTGTTGGTAGATATATTATCAACACTTAATTTAAAAGCTTAACAATATTCCATAATAATAATATTATAATATTAAGTATCGTTAATTTAACAGACACCTTATAGTATAAAATGTAGTTTAACAATATCATCAATTATCATCACCGATGTGTACCTACAGTAGATAATATTAAACCGGAACGGGGAAGTTTGTATTTATTTTAATTTCCATCGTGCAAATAAGTTGAGAATAATCAAAATCGTATTATTTAGAAAATATAAAATTTGTTTCTCTGTGCCGATGCTGCACTACAACATACATTTTTATAAATATTAAAAAAAATTTTAACTCCAAGATTAAATGAAATCCAAAAACGAGTATGATTTAAATTATAACAAGGTACCATTATGCAATTCTTACAAATGTAACGTTGGGGAACTTGTTAGATATATTTAGTTAAAATGTTTTGACTAAGAACAATAATCAATAAAAATGGTTTACAAAATTATATATTTTACATTTTATTAGTGTTGATGAATTAATTAATATTAATAACTAAAATATTGAAATCACCATATCTCACGAACTCATTATCTTGGACCTTATTATCCTTAGTACATAAATTTATATAAATCAAAAACTATTCGTACGAATTTTGAGTCTGATACGTCAATATTTCAGAAAATTATTCGCTAAATAATTTACAGTAGAAAATATGGGTTATCATTTCAAAAACAGAAGTTTATATCTCCACAAGTTACTCCCTAAGTAGTCAAAATAATTTCAATAATGTGAATATATCTTTATGGAATTTTAATTGGTATATTGAAAAAATTTTCAAAAATCATATTTTGATGAAAAAAACTAGTAAGCATGCTGGGTGAATCACTCTATATACATATATATAATGTAACCATTTGATATAATACATATGTGTATTGTATATGTGTATATGTCCTGTATGCATTATTAAATATTAACTATTTATGTTTATGAGTTATGATTTATTAGTCACACATGATTCATACATTCCAAATCGTAATATTATGTTATATATTATATGAGTAGTATAAGTTATAACATACTATATTCCAATATGTGTGTTGACTTTAACCAAGGTCGCGATCAGTTTTCAAGTAAACAATTAAATTGCACAGTTATGCCAGGGTTGAGGAGATATGGTCAAGCGTTGGCGGTATTGTGGGTCCACTAATAAGCGGATTAAAACCAAATCTGCCACTAATGAGAACATGTCTATCCACTACAGTACTACACGTATAACTGTATAGGTACATGGGTTATTTATCATTAATGAAAAGTTGATCAAACGTTCCTGGAATCAAAGCAAACTAAAAGGTAGAGACCACTGTCCTGCTTGCCCACTATGAAAAAAAAATTCATCCGGCATGACGTGACCACAACAAGGGGCCTATACTTATGTGATTACTGATTACTATGGATCGGATTTAAAAATCAAAGAATTACTGCTGTAAACATATACGTAAAAAAATGTGTATTGAAAAATTACTTTTTATAATGATTCAAATAGACAGTATATAAAATATCATAATAATAATATGACACATACTATTACAATAAAATTAATGAATAATAGACCGTGTACCTGTATGTAATTATCACTGTTTGTCTAAAATAATAAATACAACGGAAAGATAGGCAATATGACACACACCACCAGCCATATTATTATATTATATTACATAGTTCGGAGACACCGATATATTTTACTATTCCAGAGACAAATCACTATATTCACTGGGGATTATAGCAGTCATAAAAACAAAGTAATTAGTAACATATTATTATACTATTTTACGTCACCACTCTACTTCAATAACATCTGACCAATTGTAATATTATATATTTTCCTTCACCTATAATTACTATTGTAACTAGGTACATCAGACACAGTTCAGAGTAATAATTAGCTTTCAATATGCACCAGCTACTACTTTTCTCCGCTATCCACCAAACCAGTTATTAGTTCACTTAAACTTTCGATAACACTTTCCAAAAAGATCAATAGTATTCAAAAGACATAGAAAACATATTATGTTAATCTTTGAGCAGGTTCCCTGACACAATCATCAGACCATGCATTGAAATGAAACGTCCATGTACGACTTTAATGATATTTTAAAGTTAATTTTTAATAGAGTATCACGAGCATCGTTAATTCTAAACCTCTAAAAGTTAAATTATTGTATCCTCGTAACACTGAAGTGAATATCGACATTTACAGAGAGGTAAGTACATTATATTAAACTATAACTCAATAGTAACACACCTATTTAATCACCAAAATAAAATATGAACCTATAAATTGCTACGCCCCATAATATAACCTTTTTTTCTCTAACTTATTTCGGATTTATTAAACAATTCTGAATAATTCATAGGTACACTTTAAAAATTCTACACTTACAACTTAATACCTCTAATGACTACATTCGTCGACGTATATTATGCACTTCGTAACATTACATACATAACATTTTCGGTATAAAATGTACAAGCTTATTGTCATGGTGATTAAAAAAAATTAACTACAAAAAAGTTGCTCTTAATTATCTACACAGTTAGAGAGGTCATATTATGTTTTGTAAACAGATATATCACGTAGGTAACATAACCTTATTTCAAAATACAGTTAATATTAATTAATACTACAGTCAAAATTGAATCGTAGTTCGTTTGCATTTGGGTCGCGCACACTTTAAGCACATATTTTAAGTTTATAAAATCATTCAAAACAATCAGGTAATTTATTACTATATTGTGTATCATATTTGACGGATATTAACAGTATCTTTACAGATCCCAGAGGAAAAGACTACACACACACACACACACAAAATTTGCTCGAAATTAAATAACCACGTTCGCGTAAGCAGCCAGTTCGGCCGAGCACGAAACAGTGTGATGACTATTTTTGTAGACGTCACTAACAAATAGTATTGAAG